TTTTTTTTTCCTTTTTGCTTTAAGTCTTTGTTTATTGGTGTAATTAAACAGTGTCATTACAAAGGAGGAAACTTGGAGTGACTTTCTGCAGAGGTATAGCCACTGGCTAGATCACTTGCCCTTGGCTGATCACCTGCATTCTTGGCTGTCTTATTTTTGTCTGTTCTCGCACTCATGGTTTTTGTTTAATTCTGGGCAGGAGATGAATATGTGTAACTGTGCATTGTACAGATATCTACAGATACCTGCACACACTTGTCCACCAGTATGTGCACATATTCATACATAGAGTGTTGGTGTGCGCGTGCACACACACCCATAGAAGGTCGATATTGTGTAGCATTCAGGATTTGAAATAAATAACGTTTTAAGTTACTTTTGAAGACTCATATGGCAAATCCATTTGCTCATTTTGTGAATTGCTGACATTTGGATTTGAGTGCATTTTCAAAGTGTCTTCATTTGGTCTTGAAGGTATAGACTTGGAAATAAATGCTGCGTAACTGCCCAGATATTGTACACATTTTCTGAACTCAGATTGGTGTCTCTTAGCTCTGTCCTCTCTCCCCTTTTCCCTTCCTGTCCCCTTCTCACAGGAAGCAAGGGTCCTGAAGTTGGGGGCGGTTCCAGGACTGTTCTCTAAGAGAAAGCAAATGGGAAAGAAGAAGTTCCCACAGTGCCTGTTGCCTGGGCTCCTGGCTTCGGTCGTGACCTTTCCAGTGGGTTTGTACTGGTGGCCGGAGAGAGCCTGTTAGAACCCAAGTTAGCATGTGCTGTAGCTCTGGGGACACTTCTACAGTGACTTCATGTCCCACACAGCCACTGTCTTGTACCATTTTTCTCTTAATGCTTTTCACTACCATGCTGTTTTCCAGACTAGTTTGCACTGTGCCTTTACCATCCCTTGCGCTGTAACCCAAGATCTGTGAGCAGGGATCTTGACTCTTTGTTGCCTGCACGTGGAGTGCACTTGATGTATTAAAGCATTAGGCGCTCAGTAAATATTTTCCCGAAGAACAAAAGCTTGAATAAGCGAACCTTCAGGGGGAATATTCTGGAGAATGACATTCCTATATGACTGCCATTGCTTTTCGTGGAATCACTGTGAAACACTTTTAGAGAGAAACAAGATAGATGTGAGACCAGAGATGACAATTTTATATCTAAGGCTGAGCACAAGGGAAGAAAAGACATTGTTGCTTGGGAAGAAGCAGGGGTTTCTGAGAGAAGTAAGGTTGAGTAAGGGAATTTTCCAGAGCGTGCTTGCTGGCCGTTTCTTCCAGGGTGTGATCTAGGGCTCTGTTGTAGATTGGTCTCCTTGCTCTTAACCTCCTCCCATCCCCCACCAAACGGAGCTGGTTTCTGGTTCCTTACAGCACGTTCCTCTCTGACCTCTCTGCTTCAGTTCCTCCTTTTTGTCTTTCTCCCCTCTCTCCTTCATGAAACATTTTATCAAGCAGCTCCCTTGAGCCAGGCACGCGATAGGGTCAGGCTGCAAGTGGCTGAGATGTGAGAGAGCAGACCAAGGGCCCCAAGGTGCACAGTAAAGAAACCCCGACGCTCGAGCTGGTGTTGAGAGTGTCAGAAGAGGGTATGGCTGTGTACCACGCCATTACAAAGGAATGAACACCCTTTCAAATGCTGCAAACCACGTACAGAGCTGCGTGCACTCTTCTAAACCAGGCCCTCAACTAGGCACGCCAAAATCCAGTGATTCTTGTGTGTCTTGTGAATGTGGAGAGGATTGTTAAATGGAAATAACTCCAAACCATAATTTTGGAAGTTAATGTGTTTTCTTTTTTGGTTATTTCTAGGTAAATTGCTGTAAACATATCAGAATATACAATTGTGCTTTCTGTGAACACCAGTGTTAGGGCATTAGAATTTAGCTGAGTGATATTTCTTCTTGCCTGCTGCCAGCCTAACCTTGTCATCTTTCTTACTTTTATTATTTTACTGCTCTGCACCCTGGTGCTTACTCCCACAAAGCTAAATGGCTTCCCCGCTTAGTTAGGCATAAAACACCGCAAATGCGCCAGTGTGAGCGTCTTCACACATGCTGGGGGATGGAGGGTTAGAAGGATAAACGCACTCAGCTTTTTCTCTGGAATCAAAATATTGCAATTTATTGGATCTTTTATTTATGAGAATAATGTAAGAGGTTTAGTATTTTTATAAATTTCAGTGGAAGTAGGGGGAGAAAATTAGATAAAGTGATTAAGAATTGGGTAGATCTTTGTATTTGTTGTCATCGGGAATTTTTGTTTTCCTTTTTTCATCTCATCTGGGAGAAGAAAATCTTGCAGTAGCTCCAGGATAATGAGGCTGGGGAGAATTGCATATTTCAATACAGAAGTGACCCAAGAAAAACATGCATTCCTTGCTCAACTACTGGAACTTTTCACACACAGACAGGATCTACTTCCAGAATCCTATTTGTATAAGCTTCTGTAATTTCAGTTTTAATTCGAGGCTTAAAATTCTGAATGTAAAATGGAAGTCACACGGGATTTCGAAATGTGTTTGCGTATTTCCTGCGTGTGGGTTTACAATAAGAACAAAGCGATGTGGCCACTGCAATCATTCCAAACAGAGTACTTAGGGGCCCTGGCGGTAAGTGCTGTTTCCATGGCTGGGCAGGCAGTGGGACTGGTGAAGTTATCAGTGCTCTGGCAACAGTGACCTTCAGCCTCACCGGGTTATAGTTAGAAAGGAAATATATTTAAAGATCGAACACCGCGTCTTGGGTTCTTCGGCGCGCAGAACGCTTTTGAATGGTGCGGGGTGGCCTGCTTTATACATATTCGCACCAGCGTCTGCGTCCTTGACGCCTGGCAGTGCGGCATTTTGTGGTCAAGTCCAGACGTGACCCGGACTGAGAAGATCGCGGCAGCGCAGCTGTTGTTTGTGTGTCCCTCCTCCATTGGGCACTTCAGGCTCAAAATGATGCTTTCTCACCTGCGGGACAGGCCCGAGTGCAGGTGGATGAACTCCCCTCTTCCACGGTCTTCTTTAGGAATAGTGTTTGTGATGAGTATAATTATAGTCTATCCAGTATGACTTGTTGCTGTCAGCGTGTATGTGCATCGAGTCACCCGATCCTATCCCTGCACCAGTTAAATTGAGGTTGTTGTCACCATCTGACAGCTAAGACCCTGGAGGCACAGAGGGGGGAAGTGACTTGCCTGAGGTCACACAGTAGGTAGAATTGCTGGGCCACTAGCGGGTATGTGTGTGTGTGTGGGGGGGTGGTGGGCTGGCTTGGGCCCTGTGGTCTTTGAGGATGCTTCCTGCTGGGAGCTGTTTGTGGGAACAGTGGTCCCCGCCTGTCCTGAGTGGGATTTGGATTCCTCTGTTTACTTTTGTTTTTCATTTTATTTTCCTCCTCCTTGTTAGGTCAAGTACAAAAGGGATTTTGAAGAGAGCAAAGGGAGAGGCTTCAGCATCGTTACGGACACTCCAGAACTGCAGAGGCTGAAGAGGACACAGGAGCAAATCAGTAATGTAGGTGCCGTTTCCTTGGCGACATGGACACCCCGTCACGTGTCCCTGGGGGAACCTCGGGCTGGGTAGCTTGCTGTGAAATGCACGGTGCTCAGCGTCCTCACTGTGCTGGGTCCATCAGTTACCCAGACCTGCAAATGATGCATATCACCCCGTCACGTGTCCCTGGGGGAACCTGGGGCTGGGCACGGTGCTCAGCGTCCTCACTGTGCTGGGTCCATCAGTTACCCAGACCTGCAAATGATGCATCAGTTACTGCAAATGGTGGTGTCCTCTTATTTGGAATGGCTCTCACCTTTGAATCTTTGCAAAATAAGATTTTCAGAATTAAGTTAAAAAAACTGATAGTTTTTTTTGTGTGTGTGTGAATAAGCATAAAAATATAAATGAAAGTTAGGTACCTTAAAAAATCTCATAGTTCCTAATTATGTGTATATGCAGTTTAATACTTTAAATGACATGTTTGTTGAATCATCTATTACATCTAATTTTTGAAATAAACATCTGTACCTGTAGTTACTTTGGACTTGAAATCCATGTCTTGTTCAGTAATGTATTTTCCTTTAAAAAGAAAATTGGAACTAGCAGAAGGTAAGCATGTAAAGGTACAAGATCCCAATGATGAATGTAACTGTACTGCATACCTAAAATGTAGCAATACACTTAATGCAGGGGGGAGCATGACTAGATTGCAGTTTAGTACTTATCAAAGGTGGATAAACAGATCATTCTTAATTTTTGTACTCATGTGTGGTTGTGTTATTTCCAAAATATTGTATGAAGTGCGTCAAAATGTATTTTTCTTCAAAAATCAGATCAATATTAGATATCCAAGAAGAAATACAAATGAAAATCAACAGCTGTGTGATATAGTATTATGAGCAAACACGCAACACTGTTATGCTTGAGAAGTGTGTTTTGTGTGTCACTTATACAGACTCTAACATTTGTATATGTAAAGTTGTGTGATGTGCCCTTGATTTCTAGGCAGCGTTTAATTAGCAGATTGATTTGTACTCCTGGTGTTTGGGCATCATCATGAGATACATGTGTATATAGGTATAGATCAGGTATCACATTTTCAGGCAAAATTGTTATATAATTTGAGAAAAAGTTTACTTGTCAGAAGTTTAAAAACAGGCGTGTTTGATGTTTAAAAAAGTATGTGGAATAGGAGAAGGCAGAATACACATTTCCTTTTCCTTTTTACCCTGTTGCCTAAGCATTATCTGCTATTCTGTAAGTGTATATTTTGTGTTCAGAAGGACTTTTTCCTTCGAAGAGAAAGCGTGGAATTTTCCAGATTCGTGACATTGATGTCTTTTTCTGCCACATTCTAACAGCTTACTTATCATGAACAGCGAAGAACATTACCCTCATTTTTCTTCTTCTTTATCCTTCCCTCAAATCAAAAACCTAGGTTTGCTTTTCAGAATGCAAATTAGAGACGTATTCCACTAGCAGTTGCAGTCAGTAACATTTACTTCTTTGAATTGTTTTTGAGTATATTAAAAAATAAAAATAATGCTGCTGAAACAAAGTTATATCACAAATCTTCAACTACCACAGAAATTTATTTCAAAAAGAGCTAATGTTTTCAACTTAAGACTTCCATGCCACAGTTACCTTAAGGACTACGGTTGATTCACAGGTAAGCTTTTTAATTTAAATCCAAATTAAGTCAACATTCGTATTTAATTAGAAAAGAACTGATCATTTCACCCACCTTTATCATTAGCAGGAACGTACATATTATTTGATATCAGAGGTCGTTTGCAGATCTGTTCTTAATTATGCAAAGCCATCCTGTAACACAGGTATGTATTAATCTACCTATATCATATACATAGCAGTATATATCAAATACCAATTAGATTAAGCCTGTAATTTAGACAATGCTGGATTTAAAAACATACAATTAAAATATTTTTAGTATATATTTGCAGTACCTAATACTTACGTTCCCTGCGTGGAGCTGATATGTGTATATGGCACATCTGAATTCTTTTTTATCCCTTTCCCTTCTCCTCTCACACCCTCCTTCCATGTCTTGACCTTCCTTCCCATTGGAGAAAGACCTGTCTCTCTACTTCCTACTGTCTATCTTTTATTTTGCTCTTTATTTATATTCTGGGTTTCTCAAATAAGAGAAACCATGTGATATTTAAGCTCGTGTGTCCGATTTATTTCGTTTAACAGAATAGTCTTAAGGTACATCTAGTTTTGAATGATTCAAGTTTATCCTTTGTGGCAGAGTAGTGCACCATTGTGTGTAATTACCACACTGTCCTTTTCCATTCATCTGCTGATGCACATATAGGCCGCTTCTGAGATGTAGCCAGAATGAACTGGGCTGCTGTGAACATGGCTATGCATGGATCACTATAATATAATAATTTCACTCTTCTGGGAAGATAACTAGAAGGGGAAAAGCTAGGTTGAATGGAATTTCTAGTTTCATTTTTTTGAGGACTCTCTACTGATCTCCATAGGGTTGTACCAGTTTATATTCCCACCAACTATGTAGAAGGCTCCCTTTTTCCTCACAGCCTCACCAACGATTGCTATTATTTGATGTTTTGATGATGACCATTCTTTCTGGGAAAAGATGGAATCTCAGTGTTGTTGTAATTTGCATTTCTCTAATGGCCAGTGATGTTGAACATTTTTTCATGTATTTATTGGCCATTTGTACTTCTTCTGAGATGTGTGTGTGTTCACTTCACTTGCCCACTTTTTGATTGTGACTTTTATTTGGCGGGGGTCTGATTTTTTTGAGTTCTTTGTATATTGGAGATATGAATCCTCTGTCTGTGAGTAATAGCTGGCAGAAAGTTTTTCCCATTCTGTAGGCTGTCTCTTCACTCTGTTGGTTGTTTCCTTTGCTGTGCAGAGATTTTGAATTTGAGATGATCCTGTTTGCTGATTCTTGCTACTATTCCTGTACAACTGGGGTTCTATGCAGAAAATCCTATGGCTGTAACTTTAAGAGTTTTACCTTCGTTATCTTCCAGTAGATTGTGTTTCCGTTTTAACATTTAATTCCTTGATCCATTGTGATTTCAGTTTAGTACATGGTGAGAGATATGGGTCTAGATTCAGTCTTCTGCCTGTGTATAGCCAGTTTTCCCAGGACCATTTATTCAAGAGACAGTCTTTCCTCCAGTGTATGTTTTTGGGCCCTTTGTCAAAAATCAGATAGTCGAATGTATCTGGGGTTGTTTGCACATTTTCTGTCCTGTTCCGTTGATCCTTATGTCCACTTTTGTGCCAGTACCATGCAGCTTTTATCACTAACTTCAGGTCTGGGGTTTTGATGCCTCCTGTCTTGTTCTTTTTACCCAGGGTTTTGCTATTCTGGATCCATATGAATTTTAGGAAGATTTTCTCCAGTTCTGTGGAGAATGCTGTTGGCATTTTGATTGGGATTGTGTTAAATCTGTAAAAAGCATATAATTCAGATATCATCTTTTAAAAAATCTTTCTGCAGTGTCTGGATGTTAGCAACCACAGGAGTTTTATAAGTAGTTCTTTTAGCCATGATGAGGCCTATTAATGTCTGGGTAGCGGTAAAAAATATAGATTTTTCAATATAACTCTTAGAGACCTACTCCTGAATAAGGTAGGCTGTTAACTACTCTGGGATCTGGTGAATTTATTCTTCACTTATAGTACCACAATTACATGGCCTTTTTCCATTACCTAACAGGGTTTTCCATATTACTCAAGTATGTCTTTCTGTAAGAAATTTGGGTTGATCTGAAAAGTAGAACTTTGGTTAGTCCATTTCCAACACCGCTTTTGCTTAAACCCAGGGAACAGTACCCAGACAGTATTTTTGGCAGTGGTCTAGATTGTGTCTGTTTTGAGAGGAGGAAGGTGAGAAAATGTTTAGCCTGGGAAGACCCCAGGACTTTCCTGCTGGGGAGGGTGGGTGGGGCTGATTCATCTGGAGCATCATAAGGGAGGTGAGTGCATTAGAACTGGACGTTCACGAGGTGGTTGATTACCTACCCACAGTTTTCATTTTCCTCTTTGCTCTGTGTTCTTGTTTTTAGTTTATTTTGTCCTTGAATCATTTGTGGCTCTTTTAAAGCTGTCATTTACCCCCTTAGACTGAAGAAGGTATAAAGACATAAAGCAGTGAATTTAATGAGAACTCCTAGGTGTTTTGGGTAATATGTTATGGATGAATGGACATTTTTGATTGCTTGTGTCTGTGTCAATGTTATGAAAATTTTTTTCAGCCACTCATGTTCATTTGTCTAGGATTTGAAGTCATTTGGAAATGCCCACTCTGCCTGCATATGTTACTGAGGTGTGGGATAAAGTGCAACTATAAATTTCAAATTGTGTGTAATAAAAGAGGTGAGAGTGGATTAGCTTCACCTCCTTTCTTTTGGTCCCTGTAATGACAACATATTGAACACAGGAGATTTATTAAATAATGCAATTTAAAATTCTTCTGCTATGTTATCCAGTATCACTGCAGGAAGAACAACGAAAAAGGCAGGATTTAGAATTTATGTGATGGTTGGAAACAAACAGAACTTAGCTTCTAAAATAAAGAGACCCACCCCCCCGTGACATTCCAGAAGATACCTTCATTTCATTCTGTAAATTAATGTTCAGCTGGGTTTGGTTGTTTATGAAACTGAGTAATGGGTTTGGAGACAGGCTTTACGAGAAGCTGGCCCAGCCAGCTGAGCTATTTAACTGCGGATAATGTTCAGAGGGCCGAGTCTGCTTCAGGTCTCTCCCTGGCAGAAAGCAGCCTTTGTGGACAGTGCTGACCCAGGCCAGAGTGCCTTAAGACTTTCACAATGAAGTCCTTAATTGCCCTTTCTCCCTCCTTGCCCCCAGACTCTAGGGCATAAATTCAGAAGTGGCCCAGGCTTTCTTACACATCTTTGCATTTCTTTTAACAATACTTTAGGAATATGTTTTGAAAGGACAATATACAGACAGGAATTGAGGAATACTATGCCCTTGGGTATTAAAAAGACCCTTTGTCTTTCATCACGATAGTTCTGGCCTGTGTGGGTCATTGTGAAGGCTCCTTCTAGATTCGGGAGCTTGCTACCTACCCTCAGGTTCATCGCTAGGGCATTCACGGTCCCAACAGCAGGATGGTAAAGCAGCATCCGCCCGGCCTCCGAGAGACTCCTCTAAGCGGCAGGAGATTATTGATGCGTTGCCTTCTGCCTGTTTGCACACTCATAAGAGCTGCACTTTCAATTAGCTCAGACAGTCTGGGGATAAATTGTGAAATAAAATGGGAAAGTCAGACCCCAAGAGACTTTTACAGGCTTTGTGCTGTAGATAAAAACTAGGTATTTATTTGCTAATTTATTTCAGGGGGAAGAGAAATGTCACATGAAGAGGGAGGAAAAAAAAAGCCGATGAGAAAATCATGCATTTTACAGACTGACTGAAATAGTAAGTGCACCATTATTTGATGTCAGGAGTTGAGCCTGTCCCTGACACACAGGAAGCGTTGTGTGCCCGTGTCTTCCGGTTGTAGATTATTGGCCTGCAGCTGATTGTACTTGTACCAGCTTTCTACTCTTTGCTTTGCTGTGTCAGTAGTTATAATTTTGGTTATGTGTTCTTTTTTTTCCAAATATCTGGGCTTCTTTTGCTCCCACTTACAATTCAGCATACCCAGTCATAAGAAAATCTTACTTGTTTTACAAGAAAAGCTAAGATTGGAATCTTTTTTTGAGATCATAGGGGAAAAAAGTCTCACTGTAATTTGATATTCACATGTAATTTTTTTTTGGATACAACCACATAATTTTCCATTGATTTATTAGAATGTAAAATAAATTGTATACTCATTAATAGGCTTACATGGATGCTGCTAATTCAGTTCCCTGAGATTTTGTGAGTTAGCTTAAAAAATATTAGATTATTGGAACTCAGCATTGCCTGATAATTGAATACTGTGTCTATGGACTATTAAAAGATTTGATTGCAAGTTAGGTTGAATGTAAGGGTGAGCATGTGAGGCTAAGGATGATTATCTAGGGATTTGGTCTCTGTTTGTAATTTAAATAAATCACTTTGACAGAGACTGACTGTTACCACGTTCAGGCTGCTGACAGTGTGAAATTGAGTTGTACGGTGGACAGAAGACAAGCAGTCAAGAGAAATCCCCACAGGCAAAATTTGTTATGTAATTGGGTCCACTCATGCATGAGAGATGCATGCTAATTGTAAATCGGTGGCAAAATTATCGTGGAGGAGGCAATTAGGTCTTATGTGTGTCCCAACAACTGACAGAGGGGTTTCCATCTTCAGCAAACATAAAAAAGTTTTATTTATTTATTATTTATTTTTTTTTAAGGGAGAGAAAGGTAGAAATGACAAAGTCATTCAGTATGGAGATAGATTATTGGTTAATTTTCCTCCTCATACAAAAAATGCAACTTTTATAACTAATAAAAGTTTATGTGAAAGTTTCTGAATTTGAATAGTCAAAGGCACTGTACTAAGCAGTTTGAAAGGAGAACACGATGATATTTTTGTTAACAGAGATGATTAATTATGATCCAGTGGGTGAGATGGAAATCCTTGAAGGCTTGTGTTTTCACAGAGTGAATCTCCAAGTGGCTTTCATACATCATACCTCACCTCTGAATCATCGCAACCCTAAACTCCCTCTCATTCCCAGGCAGTAGTGAGTTGGCAGCATTATCTTTAAAGACATAGATTAGCTACGTCAAGGAAAATGATAGGGCTATAGCACATAGTTTTCTTCTAACACCTAACACACATATGAAAGGACTTTTTTCCTTTTCGAATACTTTGACCTACTCCATTTAATTAGCTCCCTCCTGGGGGAAGGGATTTCTATAAGGAATACACTTTCGTGAGAAGAATGTATGAAAACTTAGCTCTTGGTGCTTTCTTTCCAACTTGTGGTTCCCCGTCCACCTGGATTTGCTTTATTTTTCCATGTAGGGCAGAACTTCAAAGGCTTGAATTGTTCTTTTTATCCTCAATTTTTTTTAGCCATAGTCACTTAAGGAAACAAATCCATCCCAGACTAGTAATTACTCGTGCATAGCAGGAACAAGAGCTGTGGTTTAAAATGGCATTGTCCAGAGGGGAGCTTTGGAAAGTGCCACCATAATCCCACTTCTTTTTGGAGACAGATTAGGACAGAAAATGTTTTCTGAAGATCCTTCTTTGTAAGCTCCTTTCTGCCTGGTCCTATCTTTTCAGCTCCGCTGTGTTCAGACCCTTCGCTGGCCTGAGTTTCTCCTGCAGCCCCTAATTGGCCCGGTCGCCTTCCGGGCTCTTTCTGGTCCTTCCATTGTATGGTAAACGACATCACCAGATGAGTCTTTCTGAAATATCCCTTTCATCAAGACCCTAATTATGACCCACTACAAAACCTTCCTGGACTTCTACTTTGAGCAGGATAAAGTCTAATCTCCTAACCCTCTTAATTCTGATTCTGAGGACTCCCCACAATTGCTCCTAAATTATTTCCTGCCTTATCTTTCACTGCTCATTGGCACTGCCTGTTTCTTTGAGACCCGGCTGCTTGTTCAGTTTGGACTTTTGCATGCGTCAGTCCTCTTGTTTAGGATGGTTTCACACTACCGGTAAATGACATCCTGATCTTAGACGCACCCCGGAAAACACCAGCCACGACAGTCTTCCTTATCTCTGAATTACTGTCATGTTTGGGCTGTCATTTTTACCACTTGTTTCACGCCTCCTCTTCTATATTTTGGCTTTAATTAACATTTCATATGCATAAATGTCTTGACCCCTCTAACTTTGTGGAGGCTGCTATCATCCATGAAATTGTAAATTTATTTTTTTGTTATCTCTGAGAATGCACAACAGCATGGCACTTTCTTTCTTGTCGCTTGTTTAGAATGTGTCCCCATCCCTTCCTCGGGTTTCTGGATAGCTTCTTGACTGTTCTCAAGGGCTAACATATCGCCCCTCCTTCCCCTCAGGCTGTTGTCCGTATGATTTCTCGCACAGCCATTCCTGAAATGCACATTTGAGTATGCCATACTCTCTTAAAATCTGTCAATGGCTCCTTACTGTCTTTAGGGTAAAGTATAAAACCTTTTGCGAGGACTGTGAGGATGTTTCTGGCTTAGTGATAGTGGGGACCTCAGGTGGCTTCTCGTCACTACCCCATGCACTTTACATTTCTGCCTGAAAGGCCCTTTGCCCCTTCCCCGTCAGTGCTGGCTCAAAGATTCGCTCCTCTTCCCTGACCTTGGTCTACCCCGCTACCCTGTTAGTCTGCTTCAGTCGCTGCATTAGGAGCTTTCTTTCTCCAAGATAGGACTTCATGAAGATACAGCCTAGCATGTTTTGAAAACAAAAGAACTGCCTGTTTTTCTCCTTCTTTTTCAGAAGGGTTGCCTTTCCGTCCAGTTCTCAGTCTAGGAAAATAGAACCTTTCCTAGGACGGGTGCCACAGCAGAGCCGGGACTACCGGGACTACCGCGCCCTTCCAACACAGGGTGGCTGGTGCATGGCACAGTGCTTGGTGCCCCGCAAGTGCCTGGTAAGTGTGTGTAGAATCAAGACAGAGGCAGTCATTTTTAGACTTTTAACTAATTTTGTATATTCTTTCTATGAAGTTCTCCCTTGCAAGAAAATCCGGAGAGTTTAAAATTGCTTTAGATGGTGGTGATACCTGCTACTAGGTAACTCTGCTCCTTAGTGTTGAGTGACCTGTATCGTCTTATTGGAAGGTTATAGCAGTGCTTCCCCAGCAGAGCCGGACCCGCTGCGCCCTCAGGTGTCACCTAAGAATTTCATTACACAGGGAACCCGCCCCGTTTTAAAGTGTTGGTAACGGGATTGTTTTTTAATGTCTCACGTTAAGTATCTAAAACAAAAGTAGTGCTTGTATTGATTCACTTAGGCTTGGGCTGTCATCACAAAGCGCCACAGGCTGGATGGCTGTAAACTGCAGACATTTATTTTCTCACTGTCCTGGGTGCTGGGTACCCGGGATTAATGTCCAGCAGGGTTGGTTTCTGGTGAGGGCTCTTTTCCTAGTCTGTAGAAAGTTGCCTTCACCTCCTGTCAGGTAGACAGGGAAGGGGGAGGGGGAGGGAATGGGGAAGGGGGAAAGAGAGATTAATCCATCTGGTGTGTCCGTCTTAAGGACATGCATCGCATGGGATTCCACCCTCATGGCCTTATTTAACCTTAGCTGCATCCTCAAAGGCTCCATCTCCAAATGTCACATTGGTGTTGAGGGCTTTAAAATAGGAGTTTTGGGAGGGGATGAGGGAAGGGTGCAGTTGAGTCCAGAATAGGGCTAAAAAATAATCTCCATATATCACAGGGCAATTTTGAGGCAGTGAAGAGACATACGTTTTGTAAAAATGTTTTGAAAAATCCAAAGCATGATACAATTATAAGCTGCATCCTAAGTCGGTTTCTTGAGATGATGTCACCCTCTGCATGATGCCATTCCTGGAAAACTTCTGCATTCAGGTTTTAATTTTTCCATGTTTTCCAACCTGCACAAACTTAAGCAAAAAAGCAAAATCATGTCTAGGTGCTATTTTCAATCCTTAATTGGCCCCTTCAAAGCTCTCCTTATTTGCAGTATTGAGCCATAGTCAAAGATAACTTACAAAGATAAAGGTTGTAGTAATTAACGTTTTTGAAATTTCCAGGTCTTGGTTGAATTACATGGCTCAGAAAATAAGACTTTACATAACCCGGACTGGCACATTGGCCCAGGCAGACGTGAATAAAAAGGAAGGCAGGGGTCGAGATGCCACAGGGAAAGTCTAAGAAAGATTAACTTTTGGAAAATGTCTTAATTTCCTGTGTCTTATACAGATTTAAAACTTAAAAAGCATCTGAATTTTCTTTCAGATTTTAGTATATGTCTTGGGACATACCCATAGCGAGAATCTGGAATGTTAAAGAAAAATTGGAAATCTTACAGAAATTTTTGTGAAGTAGTAATAATTATGCCAAAGAATTATGATTTCAATGGATTTGGGGAGGTAAGTTTAAAGTTTGTTTTTTTTTTAAAGTTAACTAGAGTAATAGTCAAATATTATTTTACTTATTAGAAGGTCTTAAATCAAGGGAGACATGGTGTATATATTGCAAAACCCATTGATAATCCAAGCGTGTACAATTAAAAGACATTTCATGGTTTGGAAATTAGAAAAATGAGTATCTTTTAAAAGATAGGCACCTATGTTGTCTAATTAGCATTTCATTTTCCTAGAAAGATTATGTCATGAAAATTAAATTTTTTGCTCATGCTTTCTTCTATAGCTTGCTTTCTTTTGTGGCTGCCAGAGCTGTCTTATGGCTCTTTTTCTTCTTCATACAGTGTCGTGCAGTGCTGCTTGTAAAAGGATACTTCTCAATTTCTCTTTGAAGGGCCTATTGCTTTTGTGGGGACTCTCAGATTCCAGTGAGTTGCAAGGACAAGAAGCAGGAAGTGATGGCTACTTTTTGGCTGGCCCGTATATATTTTATTGATTTTTCCTTTTGTGGCTCTTTTTACTAGCAAAGTTAACTTTTAACTTGTTGGAATTAAGCTTGGTGTTATTGCATTTTTAGAATTATGAAAGTGTTAGAATTTCCCTCTGTTTAGCAAACTAGGAAAAAGAATACAGATTGAGGGAAAAGAATAGAAGGAAAAACCAAACCCCAAATCATCCTATTCTTCACTGATTGGTGGGTTGGTATTGGAGACTGAATCCAGGGGCTTGGGCATGGGGGACAGTCCTAATGATTACGGCCAAAATAGGCTGTAAGCAGTTAACCCCACATGCTAGAGAACCGCTTTACCTGTAAGCTACACTCAGCCTCTATTCCTCAAAACACTTGTTATTTTGGATTTTGGATACAAAGCGATTTCCTCCAAAGAAAATAATTTAAATATTCAGTTTTATTATGTAATTGTTGGGAGGCCTTTGTGGGCAAACTGCAGTTTTAGTTTTCCTTCCCTCCCGCGTTTCTTTCTCCTTCCACAGATCTCACGCTGTTGCCCATGCTGGCCTTGAACTCCTGGGTTCCACAGGTCCTCCTACGTCGGTCTCTAGAGTAGCTGGGATTACAGGCACACGCTGTCCTGCCTAGTTCCAGGTCTGTGTTTGGATCTCCCAGAACACAGTGCTCTGACTGTAAAGAGGGGTAGAAGTGGCCTTCACGGTGGCCTTATGCACATGTGTTTGTTCAGTAAACGTGGCTGCAGCGATCATGTTACACTAGGCCTAGAGAGTCTGCCAACAACTGAGGAAGCACTTTTCTGGGCACCTGTCCTGTTCTTGTAGGACGCATGGAGTGCCTGGGAAAGGCGCTAGAGGAGGAGGCCAAGGGTAGAGTGGGCATGAGAGAGAACAGCTGGCGAGGGGAGAGTGTGGTGAGGACAGGGACACCCACACCGGAGGGTTAGGGTGCAGGGAGTGACCCCAGTACCGAAGTGCGGCTTGGAGCAAGATTGTGAAAGAGCTGTTCTATTTTCAGCATACTGTGAGCATCAACAAAATCCACATTCTATAGGGGAGACCATTTTGGAAAACCTAATTATTGGTTCACACTTTTTGAGTGCTTCCGTGCGCTGAGCCCTTCGCTAGGAGGTGTGGGATGTGAGGACTAAAGTAGAAATGACCCCTGGCCTCATGAAGCCTACACTTAGCCTCTGCCCGGCAAGGAGATAACTTCCAGGGTGACTGCCTGCATATACGAGATAATTTACCTAACTCTCTGAGCAATGCCAGGTAGAAGGAAATGCTGGGTTAGTGTCAGTGGGAAAACGAACCCAAGTTTGTGAGCAAAGAAATGGAACCATGGGCATTATTCATTTAAGATGAATTTTAAAGAATTTTACTGAATTATGTTCTTGAATAGTGATTCATACTGGCTACACCGTAGGTGCAACTAATTTCGTTGTTATGTTTTCCTTTTTCCCTGTATCTGTTTTCCCTGTCCCATGTTTGCCTGACAGAATGGGTTCCAAAAAAGATCATTCCAAATTAAATGACTGCTGTTGATTAACAGACGTTTAAATGAAGATATAAATAGGTGTCTTCAATGAAGCAAAGCACAGCAGAGGTATTACATATAGAATGTCACAAATGTTTCAGTTATGGGCAGCTTATTAATTTCAGGATGGTTAAAGAGATCAACATCTTAAGTAATTGCATACTTGAAAAATTTTATAGACACCCTCTCTATTTTGGTTGCGATGCTTAAGATGAAAACAGTTAAAAGTAAGATATTGGACATTTTTCATCATCTCCCTTCCTGCCTCCAATCTTTATAGTGTTACTTTAAAATTTTAAGTTGTGTTACTTTGAAATTTTAAGTGTGATGGAATGCAAACTCGTGAGAAACTATTTTGCCTTTGAGAGATGTAGTGATCCATGTGCCGGTGAAGTGTGTGTTCTCTGTACACATCACGTGTGTACCTGTGGCTGTGAGCAGAGCGCTAAGAAGGGAAACGTAGACGTTGGTTAGGGCTGGTGGCGCTCCACCTTCCTGTTCTTGGCCCGGTCTGCGCTGACAGTGAGCCACTGCAGCGTTCCCTTGGTGCTGTGGGCCCTTTTCCTGCCAAATATTGTTCTCATGCAAGATGAAATAGCTGACTCAGTGTGGCCCGAATCTTGATCCTGCTGAGAATATGAAGACTCCTGCAGGTTGTAATACAGATTAGCTGGTGAGCGCTCTGTTGGAGAAATAAAGTGAGTTTCTCTAAATGAATTTAACAACTGCTGTGAACCTTTTTGTGTCCTCCAGCGTGAGCGTGCATGCTGGTAGTTAACCATTTATTTCCCTCATTTTCTTGAAAAGTTGCTCCAGTCCACCCCTGAGCATTTATTGTAAACACTTCCATAACTTTATTTTACATTCATGTTTTGCCAGATAAGCCACTTGATACATTAAATTACTCAGTATTGTGAAGGGTAGGGTAAGTAGTCATTATTTACTTGATTTCCTTAAGGAAGAAAGCCATATCTTTTTGTGTTATGAAATAAAAGGGCTCTGGTGATACTGATAGAATTCAGTAGGCCACACTCCTGGGTTATTTAGAGTAAACAGATTAGCAGATGACATTCTGATCACAGGCTTTACCTTATTGGTCCAAAAGATGTGGTATAGATAGCAAGAAGCCAAAATTATTTTGTGTTGCTTCTCAACGTTTTTTCCATTGCTATTTCTGCTTCTAGAGTTAAATTAAAGCTGATGAAGGCTCTAAATTCTGCAGGGATTATACTACTTTCCTCCTACATGAAATAAATGTAAAAATCAGGAACAATGCTACAAAGTATGGGTCAGTCAGATAACCTGAAAATAATCCGAAGTGTGTTCGCTTGTCGGATCACGGTCTTCTGTACAAGTTTGTGGAACTCTTGGCCTTGCATATGTACGAAATGTGCTCAGTCTGCCTGGGAGGCAGCTCTTCCATCTGCTTCCCACCTTGTTCCCATTTGTCTCCCGACACCCCGTGTGTGCGCGTGTGTGTGCGCATGCGTGTGTGTGATTTCTTAGTAAACATGTTTGTGACTGTGGTTTGCAAATGGCAAAGCACAACACGGCCGTAACAAACAAGCATTCATTTCAGTAGTGCTCTTCTGAATGTTTGCAGATGGCCTCATAGATTATTAGTGGGACTGTTTTAAGGCTCCTAACATAAATATTTAGCTGAGTCATTGTTTTTTCCTCGTTGCCACACATAAATTGGGTGGAGGGATGTTGGTCTGCGAGAAGCCTCGAGAAGATGGGAGCTGAGTTAGGCTGGCAGCTTTCCAATGAGCCCATGAAAGAGCCTCTGTTTTGGCCTCACCCCAGCAAGCGAGGATTTGAGGCTGATTTTAACTGTGTTTTCTCTTTATCTGGAAGGCTTGTTTGCAACTGTCTTGACAATCAGTCAGGCTTGGGGCTAGCACCAAGATATTTTGACTTCTAGTGTAATTGTAGTTTGTTTTGGACACACCCTTAGGTAAGTGCCACCTGGATTTCCAAGCCTAGGGTCCCTGATTTCAGTCCCCACATATGGACTATGCCCCATTTAAACTGCAAACTATAAGTCTATAGGCACGTGTCCAGTTTAAAGAAAGGTAATACAATGGGCACCATGTTCCTGCCACCCCCTTCTGAAACAGAACAGTTGTTGAAGGCGCTTGTGCTCCTTGTAGGTTTATGCCTCAATCCCTTCACTCGCTGCCAGCAGCACAAGGCCCATGGGCTTCTTGATCACACAGATTTTCATTGTGAGCCCCTGGAAGGATCATATGAAAATCTAATCCCCATGTGTGTAAACAACCTGTGGAGTTGGGAGGACGCATGGTCGGCTCCTTGCGTCATTAAAGCACCCTCAGTCTGTGAGGGACCCTACCACCTCCCTTAGCCTTCACTTCTAGCTGTCCAGACTCCAGCGAGAGCTGTCAGGCACTGTGTCATTGTGCACCTCTGATTGTACTTAGGATAAGTGGGATGAACATTCATGAAGGGCTCACTTGTGTGCTGGGAAATCTTTCATGTTTGTTATTTATTTATTTTTGGCAACCATCTCTAGAAATAGTTGTCATCATCTTAATGTCATGGGCCAGGATACTGGAACTCAGGGTGGATAAATAAGTTGCCCAATTGCATATAACCAGGAAAGAGCAAAGCTGGGATTTGAGGACAGGGTTTTGGAAAATTTTCCTCTGACCTCAAAGTGCAGTATTTCTTCTCTAAATCAGGACTTTGGGAGCATTGCTTACGTGTTTTACCTAAGTGTGCTTTTGCCGTAGCATGAACATGGAAGGCAGTAGTTTCTTTTGATAGTACAGAAGTTAATTTATTCTTGAATGGCATTTGGGAGGCCAGGTAATGCGCATTAGGTCCAAATTTAGAAGTTTCACATTTTTTGTTTTGTGGTACTGGGTTAAAGCCAGGGCCTCCTGCAGGCTAAGCAAGCGCTGTGCACTGAGCTCCACCCCAAGCCCAGGTTCACATTTCTTAATGCTAGGAGCAGAGCACCATCACCCCTAAGTAGACTGTCCTAGTCAAACGTGCCTGTGTGTGTTGGGGTACGAGAAGGCTTGCATTTCCCCAGACATTTTATGTGCGCTTTGATGTTAAGGTTCAGTGCTGCTTCCCCTTCAGGAATCACTTACCTTTCCTGCCTCACTCTCTCAGGAAGTACTTGCTTGGTGTTTGGCACTGTATTTCCAGATGGTATGGAGTCTAAGCACAGTTGCCCCCATCTTGGAGCACAGGGGAGCCTGGGAGTGTGTTAAGAGATAGATGAGGTTTGGGAGCTGGAGAAATGCAGAATAAGGCACTTGATGCTACCTGGGTTTGGTCACACGTGGCTCACCGAAGGTGTCACAAGATTAGTTTCTAAGAACAAATACACACAGGGTGGAGGCGAGTGGGGCCGGCAAGGAACTTTGCTCGTAGGCTAACTGCAAACTCAAGGAGAAGGATGCTGGCGCAGTGTGTTGGATGAGGTGCAAACAGTAATTGTATCCTGAAAAATTTTGAAGAGTAGCTGCAGGATCTTTTTTGAAAGGAATGACCCTAGATTTTCAGATCATTTGTTGAAATGTTGGGAGTATATTATCTCATCTTGTTCCTTTGGCCTGTATGTGTGCTGGATTTCACTGTAATTGTCATCGCGGAATCTTGGGCCCTTCGTGTTGATAGCTGCGGTATTTGTGGGTGTCTGTTTGGAGAATAAAAGGAACAAGGTCATGATTTCTTGCATCTCTGTATGTTTAAACCATGCCATTTTGAAAAAGTAACAGGCAGTTTTGTTGCATTGATTTAGACTTGAATGACAAATACTGAACAAAGGTGTCTGTGTGGTATGTAAATAGGGCGGCGGTGTGTTTACGCTCTGCCTGCGACCCAAGCCCGGGATAGCGAGTCTCAGACACAGTCTCAGGTTGGCAGGTCTGAGAGTGCAAAGCTGTATAAATATGTATGTCTTTAGCATTGCATGCAAATGCTACATTAATTCTCCTGCAAACAGGGAGAGGAAATCTCAGTTAGCTAACATGGGGACTGTTCCAGCCAACCTATTATTATGTTATAAAATAAGCTAAGACTAAATCTTGTTCTTATCAACAGTATTTGTAAAAGTTAGATGATGG